GATACATTTCCATCACGAGGAATAAAAGAAATAAAAAAATCTATGAATCTATTCTTCAGATTTGAAAATTCCTTCAATTATGTAGAAAATTTTGGCCATGCTCCTGGATCCTGAATCATTGAGACTAGGTCCTTGCAGTCGTAACGAACATCTGGCACGTTGATATCTGCAACATGCACTCCATTATCCACCAAAGAGCCTCTAATTCCTAATGTAAAGGAGAGATTCTTCTACGCTGGTTCTTTACTCCCAAAATCTAAATTTCTTCACTAGAGTCCTTCCATGTCCAACCACAACCACTAAAGAGTGCGTTATATGTCCATAATCCATCAATCAAGCATCTATCAGGGTCTGACAGAGGTTCTTGAGGTTGGAACTTGGTTCTTAAATCCTATGGCTTACTATTCACCTTAAAACCGACACGGCATCATGATTTCTCATGTCCAACAGTTTTCAATAGATCCATGTCTAACCCTTTGAACAGTTTGTAATGGTGAATTGATAGTTTAATATCAACTAAGTACAACATATCTATCTTGTTAATATATATTTTGTTTAGTAAGATTTTTATTTCTATTTTATATGTAACAAGTTAGTTTCAAATTTAAACCATGCATAGATTTTTATGACAAAAATAACATTATAAGGACTAAAATATACTAAATTAATAATTAGAAAATTTACTTTAGTATGAATTGACACGTATCAGTTGCGAAGTGCACTAAAACCTTTAGGGCAAATGTAGATATGCGCTGCAAATATCTATGTTATTAAAACAAAAAGAATTGTTTTGAACCTATCATTTAGTCATGTGTGGTTATGTAATTAACAATAAACCTAAAACCCATTAAAATTATGTAAAATAACATTATACCCCAAATAACATAACAACTAAACTTGTGTTCAAACAAAATAAAAGACTCAGACTCACTTTTTAAATACTTGATTAGACACAAGTTTAGTTGTTATAGTGTTTAGAAACATGGTTAATATTATAATGTTATTTTACATAATTATATTTAATGAATTCTTTGTTTTTTATTAATTACATAATCACACATGAATCTTATTATATAAAGAAGAGTTTTCTTCCCTCTTGTGATGCCATGTCACCAAATAAGATGAAGAGAAAGTGACACATGGCATGCAATATTTATTCTTACAGAAAACATTAATGTTTAATATTAACAAAAATTTATTTTATGTGAATGCATTTATCATTTCTTTTTCAAAAGTATGATTTTTTTTATTTTGAGACAAAAAATATATTAAAATAAATCATTGTATCCATGAATTAAAAAATGTATAAAGCTGAAAATAATCCATAATTTATATTCTTAGATATTTTATTTTATAAACATTGACAAACGTTCACAATATCTAACACAACGATAAGTGTGTGTTTATCTCTTTTGAAATAGTAATAAAAAAGTAAATGAGAATAAATATCTTTCTACTTGATTGATAGTTTTTAAGAATAAGTTGCAGAAAAAATTAGCACATAATACCATAGGCTCGAAAACAGAACTTGCAAAAATACACAACTATATTAACACTAATCCGTATAACATGTCACACACAAACATGAAGTAAACTCTAAATACAACCATCGAAACTTTAAAACAATTTAATAACTTCTAAATCATTAGAACTAATATTTACTTTTAAAGAAACCAAAAACAAAATTGACATTAATATTTTTGTTAAAAAAATAATCATTTAGTGAAAATATATAATATAATTAAAAGAAATTATAATTATAATAAATAAATTTATGATAAATATAATAAAAATAATCATTTAGTGAAAATATATAATATAATTAAAACAAAACAACTATAATTAAAATAAATAAAATTCATGAGAAAGAGGATAAATCAATTTACGCTATTGATCTTTATACATTTCATTATATTTATACCAACAAAAATAAAAATACCGAACCTCACAGATTTTTGGTTCCCTTTTTACTACCAAATTTAAGGTTAACCTATAATACACAATGATATAAAATAATTAACAATTAATACATAATGAAAATAATTTTAAAACAAAGAACTAATAAGATATAAAAATAGACTAATTAAAATTTAATTATGCTATGTAATATAACTTGAATTTAATGAAAAGTTTTTTTCATGTGTTTAATGAAAATTTCAATAAAGATTTAATAGTTAAGTAAACGTTACATAATATTTAAATTTATTCGAAATAAATAAAGAAGTCTATAAGTTTGGAAATACAAAAAAAATATATTATCATATTGTTTTTTTACGTTAAACCTAAGAAAAAAAAAGATTCACACACCAAATTTTCTTTCTATTTTAAGTAAATAAGATCAAATTTAGAAATAAAAAAAGATTCAAACAGTAAACAATGAGTAATAAATAATCAAACAATATTTTATAAAAAAAAAGTGAAAATAAAATAATAACACTCAACAAATAAATAAACAAAAGTCGAGACGAGACATAATACAGAACAATTCTACGCAAAACACATACTGATACTCTATAACATACAATATTTAGATCTAAAATTTTTAAAATTCGAAAGACAAAAAAGAATTAATAATTAATAATAATTATATAATTGTCTAACTACTTATATTTTATAGTATATTATAATATTTATATATCAAAATAACATACAACATATATAATTAAAGTTTCAACGAAAAATACGGGCGTAGCCCGGGCAGGCCCTAGTAAATGATAAAAAAAAGATCATTAAGGATTCGTTAAAACAGAAAAGTTATCTTGGATCTATCATTTAGTCAAGTGTTATTATGCAAATAATCAAAACACAAACAGATCATTAAGGATAATTATTTAATATAACATTAGAATGCTAATCATGTTTCCAAATAATATAACAACTAACTTTATGTCCAAACAATATAAAACATTAAGTCTCACTTTTTAAATAATAGTTTAGACAAACTTTAGCTGTTATATTGTTTGGAAACATGGTTAAAGGTATAATGTTATTTTACATAATTATCTTTAATAGATTATTTATTTTTATTAATAACATAATCACACATGATTAAATGTCAGGTCTAAAACAAAGTTTTCGTTTTAATAAGATATATATTTTAGATTTTATTTTAAATAAGTTACTCATAAAATCCACTAGAATTAATTTCAAATGCTAATATTTAGAAATATGTTCAAAGTCATTTAGGCGTGATTATCCAATCATTAATTCTAAATTCTACTATATATATTTATAATAACAAGACTAAACATTAAATCATTTTTATTTGAAATAATTAATTATAAATTATATCACAATGCTATTCAAAACTACAAAGTTGAAAAAAAGATATCTGATTTACAAATACAAGATCTAATAACATTGAATTTTAAAACCCAATTAAAAATAATTAAATAAATAATACCAAACTACGATTAAATTTAATGTTTTCCAAAAACTCATAGGTGAATAACGTCTCTTTCGTTTTAAATAGCTCAAATTAGATTTTATTCACACTAAACTTTGCAACTTATGTAATCTCATTAAATGAATAATATCAAATTATGGTTAAATTCAATCATTTTAAGAAATCATCATTTATAACACATCTGTGGTTTTAAATAATATGAGATTAGATTTTAGTAACACTTAATTTCACAATCAATTAAATATCTACAAACATGAGATCTAATAATACTTTTTAATCATAAATTGAAAAAGAAACATATAGTCGTTGGATTTGGAATGAATTAAAATACTCTTTTCTAATTATTTTAAAGAAGGACATTTTTTCTCTCTTTTTTTGGATCTTGAAGTAAGTTACCATTGATTCTAATAGAATCTCAGTGTTAAAAAAAAAAAAAAAAAAGACATTTATTCTTAAATTCCATCCTAAAAGATGTCTCTAATCATAAATACATCACTGAGAACTATATATATATATATCAAGGATTTTTAACATAAAAACCCCTTAACTAAGTTTGTTTTGGGTAAAAACCTCTAAACTAAGTATGTAATGAAAAAATCCTAAACTAACTTTATTTAGTGAATTAAACCCTCGCCGGTCATAATTACCAGTACTACCGGTAAATCTTTAGTTTAGGGGTTTTATCATTAAACATAAAAATTCAAAAAAAAAAGAAAAAAATCAAAATATAATAACATTATCTAAAATTTCGTAATTTTAATTTTCAAAACTAGCATTTTAAAATTTTCTGTAAATATATGAATGATTTCTTATCCTTGTAAAATGGATTTTTAACTACTTTAACTAAGTTTGTTATGGGTAAAACCCCCAAACTAACAAGTAAACCCTCATATTAAACATAGTTGAATGGTTTTTATCATTTAAAATCTAAAAAAAATTATAACATTATCTAAAAATTAGTAACTTAATTTTTTAAAATTAGCACTTTGCAAACTTTCTGTATATATATGAGTTTGATTTGTTTTAACATCATTATTATATATATATAGATTAAAATTTTAAAACACCAAAATATAATAAAAAGCATCTAAAGATTTATTATTACATTTTTATTAAATAAGATATAATTTTTATTCTCTTTTCTTGTTTTTACATTTATAAATTTTGATAATTTTTATTACAGGTAAATCTTAGATAATTTTTCTTATATTTTCTTGGTTTTTAAATTTTAAATTTATAAATATAATTTTGATTTTAAAAGGATAACAAATTAGACTCATATAGTTATAATTTTTTTTTTAAAAAAATGCTAGTTTTTGAAATTAAAATTACAAATTTTTAGATAATTTATTATATTTTGAATTTTATTGATTTTTATGTTTAATGATTAAACCCCTAAATTGAATATTTACCGGTAGTACTGATAATTATGACCGACGAGGTTTTAATTCACTAAATAAAGTTATTTTTGAGGTTTTTTCATTAAATATTTAGTTTAGGGGTTTTCACCCAAAATAAATTTAGTTGAGGGGTTTTTATGTTAAAAATCCTTAATTTAAAAAGTACATATAAGCAAATAATTTGGTTGAAGGCACGCGTCGTCCTGTAATGTCTTTATAGCGGTTTCCTCATCATATAGTTCGCCTTCACTTTCTCCATTTAATTGTCTTTTCTCTTCCTTTTCTTTCTCCATGTCTTATTATTAAATGGTTTTGATCTTCCAACCAGATCTCTTCGACAAACCCTTTTCTCTGGGTTCTTCGAAGAAAACGTTATTACAAAGCTCTTTCCTCTCCTTTCCGTTTCCTGTCATTGTCTTCTTCTCCTGTCATGCCTTTGCCTTGGAAGAAATCCAAATCTGGTCGGATCTCCAAATTCGTATCGGACCTCCAACAATCTCCCAAACACGGTGGATCTCTCGTCGTAGAGACTGGTTTCCCAACTTCTCTCATCGATCTCTTCGTCAAGAATCGCGATCGTCTCAAGAAATCTTCTTCCAAACGCAACAACAAAGCCCCGACACAAACACGACCGCGTGTTTTGTCTCCGCATCTTCCTCAGAAGCTTGATCTAGCGTCGGTTACGGAGGATCTCGCGGAGAGTAATAAGATCGATGAAAGTTTGGTTGGCATAACATCGGAGAATAAGCACGACGGTGATAACAACAACAACGAATGCGGGAACGGCGGTGATCGCGGGGGAGGATGTTGCGTTTTGATGGTGGTTGTGGTTAAGGTTTTCCTGGTGGCTGTGCTCGCCTTGAGCACGAAGAAGCTAGCCGTGGGGATCACTATCTCCGCATTCGCCCTCCTCTTCCTCGAGCTCGCCGTGGCGCGTGTATTCACACCCGACACGCGGGTTTGGTTCCATTCGTTGTTTGGGAAGCTCATAGGGAAGAAGAAGCGTGAAGAGAAGGTAGAAGAATCATCAACATCATCGATGCAAGAGGGAAAGGACAACAAGGTCTCTTTTGAAATCGTCGAAACCTTCCAAGGCTCAAGAGATTGCGTTGAGGAAGTTCAAGTTTCTCCGGAGGAGAGAGATGTGGTGTTAACGAAGGAGAAGAGTAAAAGCGCGAAGCTTAAGTCCAAGATTGTGAAGAAGTTGAGGAGTTATAAGAAGAAGAAGAAGAAATTGAAGATGAAAGAAAAAGAAGTAGAGGTAGAGTTGGTTCAAGATGATGATGAGTCTATGACTGAAGTGTCTAGTTTGTATTCCGAGGATAGAATCGAGAGCAGAGATGAGACTGGTTCGAATCCGGCATTGCTGGAGAGCTGTGAAGAAGAAGAATCTGGATCGAAGGGGGATCTAACTAAAGTGATTGTTCTGCTAGTGATTGCTCTTGCTGGATTGTTAAGCGGGAAAGTCATATCTATTGTTCTGACACTCTCCTGGTGTCTGACTCTGAGACTTGTCTTCTGCAAATCTCAAACTAGTCTCTGAACACATCAAAAGTAAAATATTTTTTGTTGTGTGTTTTCGTGGCAGTGGTGGACCCTACGGAACGCCGTGGTGACGGTGTTGACGGTAGTGTGGTTGTTGGGTAGTTCGAAGCTATACAATTTGTTTGCTTATGAAACTGGGTAAATATTTTGACAGAGAATATTGTTTATTAATAAGTTGGTCAATGAGTCAAAATTGTTGTTTACCGCGAAGGAATAAAAGAATTGAAAGTATCTTATAAAATGGTGGTTGTTCATAATGAAAGGCAGAGCATTAAGGTTTGTGTCGGCCAGAAAAACAATATTGACGGAGACACGTGAAAATGTACATCAAACATGTGAATAAGTTTTGTAAGTTTATTTTATTTTAATTTTGTGAAGGAGTTTTGTAAGTTTATGTAGCGATATTGATGGAGACTGGTGATGACATGACCAATTTATTACTAGTCGATACATTCAGATAATTTTGGATTTGATAGTGGCGTAATGTATCGGATGTCTCTATCACGAATTAATCGTGCAGCTTTAGCATTACCTTCGGGGGTTTTCCACAGTTGCTAAAATCAACTTTTCTAATAATATTGGACTTGGATCCAATCATTCTAGAAAGAAGAAAGTTTAAATAAGAAAATGCAAGAAATATGGATAGTAAACCCAGTTACAAACAAAAACATGGATAGTTTTTTTTTCTACTGAGAAAAAACATGGATAGTTATCTTAAAGTAATGTTTCTTTTTTCATAGANTTTCCACAGTTGCTAAAATCAACTTTTCTAATAATATTGGACTTGGATCCAATCATTCTAGAAAGAAGAAAGTTTAAATAAGAAAATGCAAGAAATATGGATAGTAAACCCAGTTACAAACAAAAACATGGATAGTTTTTTTTTCTACTGAGAAAAAACATGGATAGTTATCTTAAAGTAATGTTTCTTTTTTCATAGAGTACGGATAATATTATATGTGGAATCATATCTGGGAAAAAATATAGTGCATAGCCTCATTGCTAATTTGCTATATCATGTCCAGCATTAAGACTTGTGGTCAAGTCTGTTCATTAATTTGGGTATACACAGTCCATAGACTTGCAAGTTGAGTAGCTACCAACAAATGTGAAGGGCTAAGACTCCATGTGTATGTGTAAATTCTACATAAAATGAAAACTTTTTGATAAATGTTATATGTTTTTTTCTCTTCTAAATTTTATTAAACATTTGATGAAAAATATATGGGTTACAAAAGCCGATAGAATCAAAAAAAAAATTCAAAAACAAAATCTAAAAGAGAATTGGATTCAAAAACAAAATCTAAAAGAGAATTGGTTAATCGATGTTCATCGGATCTTATTCTCTATTTGATCTCTTGTTCTCAAATCTGTTGGCTATCTATGGGTGTTGTCTTGTAACACTTCCTCATGGAGTTTGAGACTTGAAAGTAATGAAAGTATAGTTTGAACAAAATTAAAGTCTTAAAGAGAAAATCTACAATTAAAACAAAAACAAAAACAAAAATGAATAAGATTAACACCTATGTATTGCCACCGATGAACCAGCTTGTTCATTATGGCTCCTATTGGATGCTTACTTAGGAAACAAGTTACCTTCTCAGAAATGAGAAACCGTATCAAGCTTAAACACATAGCAAGCTTAAGTCAGTTTCTACCACATGTAGTTATATATGTTACATAGACGTTTATATACACTTACGTTAAACCATGATAAACCACAATCTAAATGCCTAATGTCTAATCTACTGTAAACCGGACTAAACCAGTCATATACATTAATAGCCTCCCTCGAGATGAATGTGCATAAATGTTATGCAAACCCATCTTGCTTATGTTATCTTGGAAAGGAGTATGATAGAGTGCCTTGGTGAGAACATCAGTTAGCTGATCACAGTGCGGACATACATTGTTTTGAGAAAACCTTCTTGCATCTTCTCCCTTACCTTATAGCAATCATTCTCTATGTGCTTTGTACGTTTGTGAAATACATGATTGCTTGCAATGTGCAAAGCCGCCACATTGTCACAATAGAGATACGTAGGAAGCTGGAAAGGTAAGCGTAGATCAGTCAAGAGTTTTACCACCCACATCATTTCTTTTGTAGCCATACACATTACTCTGTATTCAGCCTCTGCTGAACTACAAAAAACTGTGTCTTGCTTCTTGGACTTTCAATGAACAAGAGAATCACCAACAAACATTGCATAGCCAGAAACTGATCGTCTAGAATCTGGACATCCACTCCAATAAGAATCAGAATAACCTCGCAAATCAAAGTCAATCTATGTCCCATAAAACAATCCAAGACCAGTTGTTCCCTTCAAATATCGCAAGATCTTGTGAACTGCTTAAAGATGAACATCAGTACGTGTCGCAGAATATTGAGCTAGCTTAGAAACAACAAAGCAAATACCTGGCCTTGTAAACGTAAGATACTGCAATTTACCCAACAGTCTTCTATACTGTTTTTCATCCTCAAGTAAAGTACCATCGTCTTGAGACAGCTTCTGATTCGGTTCCATCGAGATGGATGATGGTTTACAACCAGAGAAATCAGTTGATTCCAGAAGATCAAGTACATACTTTCGCTGACGTACAAAAATCCCTTCAGCAGATCTTGCTATCTCCAGACCAAAAAAATACTTCGGGGCTCCCAAATCACAAAGCTTAAAAGCTGCACTCAAGTTCTGCTTCAATTCATTCACCATATCATCATCAGTACTGGCGATAAGTATGTCATCAACATACACCAATATAACCAAGAACTTTCCATCCAAAAATTTCACAAACATCATGTGATCTCCAGTACATGTCTCAAAACAAAAACCAAGTAATGTCGTAGAAAGTTTCACAAACCATTGCTGTGAAGCTTGCTTTAAGCCATATACTGATTTGTGAAGTCTACACACTGCATTTGGAGAAACTTTAACTCCCTACAATTAAGAATAACCTGGTGGTAACTTCATATAAATCTCTTCCTCCAAATCTCCATTAAGAAAGGAATTCGAAATATCAAGCTGCGTCAACTTCCACTTCAACTTAGGAGCAACTGATAACAAGATTTTCACCGTGGCCATCTTTGCCACAGGAGAAAAAGTATAAAGAAAATCTATGCCATCTTGTTGAGTATAAAATTTAGCTACAAGTCTTGATTTCTTCCTCTCTTTTGTACCATCTGCATGATATTTGATGGTATGTATCCATCTAAAACCAATTGCTCTTTCCCTGATGGTAACTCAGTAATCGTCCAAGTCTATATTCGTTCATACGCATCAATCTCTAAACCCATGGAGTCACACCATACCTTATCCTTCAATGCCTCTCTATAACTTTGTGAATAGGTGCTTTGGTAATGACATTAAGAAAAGCATAGCAAAGCTCAAATATAGAAGTATAAGAAATATAATTTGTGANTTGCTCTTTCCCTGATGGTAACTCAGTAATCGTCCAAGTCTATATTCGTTCATACGCATCAATCTCTAAACCCATGGAGTCACACCATACCTTATCCTTCAATGCCTCTCTATAACTTTGTGAATAGGTGCTTTGGTAATGACATTAAGAAAAGCATAGCAAAGCTCAAATATAGAAGTATAAGAAATATAATTTGTGATGGGATATGGAGTAGTAATATGAGTCTTATCAGTAGAAGAAGAAGCATTATAACAATGGTAATCCTGCAAATGAGAAGGTAATTTCTTTGGACGAAGAGATTTTGATTCAGAGGAAACTAAAGCCTCAGATGATATCTTATCTTTTGGGAGATAAGTATCAGAAGAAAATGGTGGTGTTACAGAATTTGCAGGATGAGAATTATGAGGAAAGAAAATCCTTGTATCTTCTGTGATAGTACAAGATGCAAAGGGGAAAATATCCTCATAGAAAATAACGTGTCGAGAAATAGAAACCGAGTGTGTGTCTATGTTTAGTAGCTTATATCCATTGTATCCACTAGGATAACCTAAAAAACCACATGCTCTAACTTTAGGATCAAACTTGGTTTTATGATTTGACAAGGTTGAACTATAACAAAGACAACCAAAGGTTTTCAAACTATGATAATCAGGAACTTTAGAGGTTAATTTCTGATAACGGGATTGATCTCAAAGAACTTTAGAGGGTAATCTATTGATAAGAAAAGTAGCAGTTAAGACGCAATCATCCCAAAACTCTAACGAAATACCCGATTGAAACATAAGTGCTCTAGCCACATTTAAAAGATGCTGATGCTTTCTTTCAACTACAGAATTTTGTTGAGGTGTCTCAAGACAAGAATGATATACTTTAATACCTTTTTATGATATAAATCAGTAAAATTGAGTTCATTGGCATTATCAGATCGAACTGAACAAACTTTCAGGTTGTATTGAGTTTCTACCATTGAAATAAAACCAAGAAATACATGTAAGACATCAGATTTTTGTTTAAGCAGATATATCCAAGTTGCTCTGCTAAAATCATCAACAATTGTCAAGAAAAACCAATATCCTTTGCTAGTAGAAACAGCGAAAGGACCCCATGTGTCAATATGAATCAATTCAAACGGTTTGGTACATATATTTTGACGAGACATGAATGACAAATTTTTCTGTTTTGATAGATGACAAACATGACATGGTTCACGATTTTTATTCACTTTATGTTTAGGTAAAACCAATACATCAGATAAATACTCAATCTTAGACATAGATGGATGACCTAATCTCTTATACCAAGTAGCAGAGTCTATATGTAAACTAGAACAATCAGAAAACATACCCTGAAAAGATAAAATTTCATGCGTATTAGGTAAACTCTGAACATATAAATTTTCCATCTCAACACCCTGACCAATCATCCGAGCCTAAGTACGATCCTGAATAAAACATTCATCGGGAGTGAAACTAACTTAAGTATGCAATGTTTTAGTCAATACGCTAGCACACAACAAATTAAATTTAAAATCTGGAATGTACAAAACATTGTAAAGAGAGATCGCATCAGTCAATCTAATAAACCTTCTAATTTGACAGTGTAACCATTAGGGAGGGTAACATAGGTTTTGTCTAGAGTGTTTTATTCTAGAAACAAAGACCTATCATGTGTAAAATGATGACTAGCTCCTGAATCTATCACCCAAGCTCTAAGAGACACACTGGTTTCTTTAGAGGTAGATGAAATTAACACGTCATTGAAAGAACATTTGAAAGTGAGAAATGTACCAGTTATCTAAGAAAAAGTTGGCACTAAAGTGTAAATAGAGGCATTGTTGCTTTTGGATATAAGACTAGGAGTTTGGAGATCGACACTGTTCAACTCTGGTGCAATGACATAAGAACCTTGGAATTGATTATTGAGATACGCAATCATATGTTGAATCTGATCTTTACTCATGCTTTATCAATCGCCTTCACATGAGATTCTTGAAGACCAAGAGTTTCAAGATTA